GTTCTGTCTTCATGCAACCAGAAGAAGGGATCTGATCCCATTATATATGGTTGGAGCCATCCTGTGGTTGCTGGGAACTGAACTCAGGACCTCTGGCAGAGCAGCCCAGTGATTTAAGTTCCATGCCCAGGATCCACATTGTGGAAGGATAGAACCGACTCTTCCTACAAGACACCCTACCTTCTCACACACACTGGTACATCTGCATACCCCCACACACACACTAAGTTCACACAAAGTAAAGAAAGTGTAAGAATTTTTTAATGCAAGAATGATTCTTTCTTTTGATAAAAACCCTTCAATCTTCAGTATTCCCCAAAACATGGATTACAGAAGGGAACACTCAGAGCTCAGGTCTCGATTTTTGACATCTTGTTCTATGCACAAGGGGCCTGGGATAATTAGCTGATTGCAGGGCAGGGCAGGGGAAACAGGAGACTAGAATGTGTCTCATTGTGTCTGGAAAGCATGGGAGGATTTTTGTTTTGTTTTGTTTTGTTTTAACGTCAAAAAAGCTTGAAAAGATCCAGAGTCGAAATTGGAACAGTCCTGGAGAAGATAAATTCTGAAAGTAGCAAATTATAAACAAGCCCTTAATTAAGTTAAAATCCACAAAAAAAAATCAGCATGGAATCAATTAAGGTGGGAGAAAGGGAAAGCCCAGGCTCAGGGAAGAATTCTAGCAGGGAGACAGCCTGAGTCGTAGGACCAGAAAACCATCACTGACAGCTCTCAAGAAAGAGTCATCCATGTTACTAAGCCTGTGCTGTGCGGCCAAGCAACTTCACATGTATATAATGTGGTGTGTGTGTGTGTGTGTGTGTGTGTGTGTGTGTGTGTGTGTACACAAGTGTACAGGTGACCAAGGAGCCAGAGGAGAGCATTAGATTCCCCAGAGTTGGAGCTACAGGCAGCTGTAAGCTTCCACATGTAGGTGCTGGGGATCACTCTTGAAGCAACACCTTCCTAACCACTGAGCCATCCCTTCAGATCCCTTCATCCTTTAATAACTCCTCAATTCCAATTTTCCCTGTCCTTACACTCAGGGGTGTGAAGCCGTCCATTGGAGGAAAACAAAAGAATTTTAAAGAAACCTGTGTTGTGCAAAAGTGTAAAGAGGGACAGGATATTTTCACAGGTGATTGACTGTGAGAGGAAATAATAACTTCGCCAAGGCAGGTGCCACTTTAGACAAGTGTCAATGCCAACAGCTCCCGTGTTGGGTCAAATGATGCCACGATTGCTGGGCAGTGGTGGCGCACGCCTTTGATCCCAGCCATTGGGAGGCAGAGGCAGGCTGATCTCTGAGTTCGAGGCCAGCCTGGTCTCCAGAGTGAGTTCCAGGACATTAAGGGCTATACGGAAAAACCCTGTCTTGAGAAAAAAAAAAAGAAGTCGCTGCCTGGCTGTTGAAACGGCTCAGCAAAGATGCTTGCCTCAGTGCCTGCTGGCCTGAGTTCTATCCCAAGACTTGAGTAAAGGGGGAAGGAGGACACTTACTCCACAAATTCATCTTCTGGCTGCTGCTGCACACGTGCCCTGGTATGTGTGAACCCCTCCAACATACGCACATACTGTGTATATTTTTAGTTTACTTTTATTTCGTGTACATTGGTGCTTTGCCTGCATGTGTGTTTGTGTGAGGGTGTTGGATCCCCTGGAACTGGAGTTACAGGCAGGCATGAACTGCCATGTGGGTTCTAGGAATTGAACCCAGGTCCTCTGGAAGAGCAGCCAGTGCTCTTAACTGCCTAGCCATCTCTACATTCCCCTATTTTTTGTTCGCTTATATGTTGTTGTTGTGTGATTGTTTGTTTGTTTTTTGAGACAGGGTTTCTCTGTAACTTTGGAGGCTGTCCTTGAGCTCTCTCTGTAGACCAGGCTGGCCTTGAACTCACAGAGATCTGCCTGCCTCTGCCTCCCGGGAGTGCTAGGATTAAAGGTGTGTGCCCTCACAGGTCAGCCCAGCCCCCTGTTTTTATATTTTACTTTTTGAAACAGGGTGTCATGTATGGTAGGCTATTCTCAACTTAGCCAAGGGTGGTTTTGAACTTCCTCCAAATCTGGAGCTCTAGGCTTGCATCTGTGTGCTACCACACCCTGCTTATGCTGTGCTAGGAAGTGAACCCAGGGCTTCATACAAGCGACAGGCAGCTTTTAACAAAGGAATCGAATGGGCACACTTCAGCAGGAAGTAAATTTGAGAATTCCACGTCCCTTCTCCCTACTATTGATAGTAGAGGATAGTTTACACCTGTTAGTGTTAATTTGCAATTATTTTAGGGTTGGGATTGGAAGAAGGTGTTCAGACTTAGGTATCCCTTTCAGATAAGTTTAGAATTTAGGTGGAATGGATATGTTTAGCTTAGGATAAGTAGACTATAACTTGATTATCACCCTCTATGTATATATGTTGCATATGTTTGAGTTTGTATCAAATTTAAATCTTTTATTTAGACTAAAAGGGGAATTGTAGGAGTGAACCCCACAAAGCTATCTGCCCATGAGGACGGGACAAGTAAATTAGCACAGGTAGATATAAAAGGAAGTGAAAGGAAAAGGACTCTCTCTCTTTCTCTTGGAAGCCAGCCATGCTTCTAACTCCTAGCTTGTGCGACTCTCTCTCTCTCTCTCTGGTAAATAAATATATTGTTTTCCCTATAGCATTGACGATCATCAATACCCCCCAACCATAAAATTATTTTTGTTGCTACTTCCTAACTGTAGTTTTAGTACTGTTGTGAATAATAATGCAAATATCAGATATCTGATATCTGATAAGGAAACCCTATGCAAGGGTCATGTCACCCCCAAAGGGGTCCCAAGCCACAGCTTGAGAACTGCTGAATTAAAACGCAGCAACCAGCGTTACAGCTCAGCGGTGGCATGCTTGCGTAGCGCTCAGAAGATTTTCAAGTCCTCAAGGGAGAGTCTGAATGTTAAGTTGCCCCTTACCAGCTCCCATGCTCGAGTTTTGGTCCCCAGCTAGTGATGGTGTTTGGGGAGGTTGGGAAACCTTGGGGAAGAGGAGCCTAGTTGGTGGTTGTAAGTCACTGGGGATGGGCCTCGCTGGTATACCCAGCCAGGCTGCAGTCTCTGCTCTCTCTAATTCCTCCGTGTTTGCGCCACTCGGGGAAGTAGCCACAGACTCCGGCTGCCGCTGCGCCGTCTCCACCTTTATGAACTGAGATCTTCTGAGACTATGAAACCAAATAAGCCCCGCTCCAACCACAAGGCATTTTTGTCAGGCATTTTATCACATTGAGGAAAAAAAAAAAAGAAACTAATACAACTGATAAAATGTCATGTTTACACACAGCCAACCACGAGGAATAAGGAAGGTTGCCCAAGTTAGCTCCAACTCCCTATACCCTGCTTCATAGATCTGTCGCAGTATCACATGATATAGACACATATGTAGATCATGATATCTGCATGTCTATATCCACATGTATCTCTATATATCATGAAGGGTTTTGTTTTTTTTTTTTTTTTTTTTTTTTTGAGACAAAGTCTCACTACGTGGCTCTGGATGTCCTGGCACTCTGTATACAGACCGGGCTGTCCTTGAACTCACAGACAGCCACCTGCCTCTAACTCTTGAGTGCTGGTCTTAAAGGCGTGCACCACCCTGCCCAGCATATTCTTAATTCTTCAAAACGGAAATCGCTGTGGGGCTGGAGAGATGGCTTAACGGTTAAGAGCATTGACTGCTCTTCCAGAGGACCAGGGTTCAACTCCCTAACAACCACACTGCAGCTCACAACTTTCTGTTGCTCCGGTTCCGGGGATCTGATGCCCTCTTCCGGCCTCCTCAGGCAGTACACACATACAGCGCACAGACAACCGTGCAGGCAAATCTGTATATGCATGCAGTAAAAACACGTCTTTATAAATAAGTAATGGCGTCTCTGCACGCATGGGTGCTGGTCCCTGGCTTTCACCTTGTTTGGGGTGGGGGTGGACACTCTTTTGCTCACTGCTTGCCTATGCCAGGCTAGCTGTGAACTTCTTAAGACTTGTCTCCATCCCTATCACATTGGATATAGGAGCATTGGGGTTTACAAATTTGTAAAACCACATCTGGCTTTTTTGATTGTTTGTTTGTTTGGTTGGTTGGTTGGTTTTAGGGTTTTTGAGAGAGGGTTTCTCTGTGTAGCTTTGGAGCCTGTCCTGTCGGTAGACCTGGCTGGCCTTGAACTCGCAGAGATCCGCCTGCCTCTGCCTGCCGAGTGATGGGATTAAAGGCGTGCACCACCAGCCCCTGGCTACATCTGGCTTTTTACGTGTACTGGGGATCTGAACTCAGGTCCTCGGGCTTCTATAGCCAGCCCTTTGCCCACCGAGCCTTCTCCTTAGCTCTGTACCCTTAATTCTCCAACCCATGTCCATTCTACTCCGTGTCATATCAACTGCCCCGGAAGAGAAACACATTAAGCTTGTTTGCCGTGGGATCTGTGCTCTGGGCTGCCAGACTCTATTCAGGGCCATGATATTTTAGAGACACAAGGGCCCATGCTTTCACCGTTGTGAAATCTATGATGCCGCCCATATACAGTAGGTAAAAACGGTTTGGACTGTTTTCATGACTGGGGAAAATGGAACATTTGCTTAAGCAGATGTTCCCTTGGTTCTCGTTCATGTACCATCTGCTTCCTATGCTGAGACTGATGGAGAGGTCCCCCCAGCTATCAAAAGTTGTACTGGAAAGCCCCCATCTTCAGATCTTTGCATTGTGGTCCCCCTCTAATTGAAAAAGAACCTAGAGGTCTTAGTAAGTGCCGAGGGCTTGAGTGGACCCATGGGGTGGGGCGGGGAGGGGAGGGGGAGAGCAGATGGGGACCGAAGGACTTATGGGTAGGGCTATTATTATATTTTAAATAGAATATATTTTATTTATTCTTTTGACACTTCCACGCGAGGAAACAATCGCGGCATCCCGACGTCACGGGTTTCTGAACTCACAGTTCCAGACAACCTATGCCTGCTATTGCCCTCACCCGATGATGACGGCAGAAGTAGCGTCACTCAGGTTATTAAGCTTCAGTTGAGCCTTTGTTTTTCTTTCCTTTCCTGTTAGAGTTCTTCCAGGTGGTTGGGGACTCCCGAGTTGCACCAAGAACAAGAGTCCAGTGTCAAAACTAGAGAAAAAAAAAAGACAAAGAGGGTCACTTCAGACTAATGAAGGGAACCATCCGTCACGGGGGCCATTAACATTCTAAACGCGCACATCCCAAAGCACAGGTGCACACGATTTTATAAGACAAATGCTATTAGATGCAAAGGCATAGATGAAACCCCAGTACAATGGCGGTAGAGGGACTTCAATACCCTGCTCTCCACAATTGATAAGTCTTCCAGGCCCCTTCCCCCCCCCAAAAAAAAGAATAGCAGAAAAATATGGGGAGATACAAAAGAGCCTGATGTCTTTTGAAGCGGGAATAAATAGAACCCTCATGCTTTTGATTCTCCGGGAGAGCTATTGGACTCCTTCTGCAGAGCGGTGTCTCATTTCTTGTAGCAAAGAGGTTTTGAAATTGCATTCAAGTGCCTAATAACCTCCTTGGCACATAAAGGAAGTCCTCCATCAGTCGCGCGCGCGCACACACACAAAAAGAGGAAGGACAAAATGTACTGAATGGAGAACAAGGGGACAACATAATGAGGCGCCTCTCTCCTGCACCTGCGGCAGCTGCCCACCAAGAACCCATGACTGTCCTTTGAGTCAGCAGTCTGCAGGGCTAGGTCTTTGCCCCCCTCTAATTGGAAAATGACCCAGAGGTCTTTAGTAAGTGCCGAGGGCCTGAGTGGACCCAGAAGGGGGTGGCAAAGGGGGGGACTGAGGGACTTATTGTTTTGGTTATTATTATCTTTTTGAATAGAATGCCTTTTACTTATTCTTTGATAATTCCAGACGCGTAAACAATGCACCTTGGCCGTAGACACGCCAACTGTGCCTTCCCACTCTGCCAGGGAGCCTAACACAGCGCCCCTCTTCACCCTTTTGTGTCCTCCAGCAGGATTTGAGCCCTTTTGAATCTCCCCACCCACCTTCAATCCACTCTGCCCTCAGCAAGAAGCCTTATCCACCACCGCCACCCCCGCGGGGTACTCAGCCTTGCTAGCAACCTCAGAAGGTCACCATGGAAACCACTTGTAGGGAGGAAGGAGTGGGTGGCCAAGAAGGGTGAGGAGGCCTCAGAGAGTGGAGCATTTCAGGCACCATGATGCGGCTGCAAACACTGGGTCTAGATGAGCGTCTCAGGGTAACGAATGGACGTTTATTGCTTGCCGTTAGACAGGATGTGCAGAGCCTCGCATCACAAACATCTGGGCTTGCATCTGTGGTCTACATCCATACCCATACATGCATATTATAGTTATTATCTGTTTTTACATATTTATCCTAAGCGATACGTATGTGAGTTGTGTGCCACATGACAAATGAAAATGGTAAATCTGGGCATTTACCGAATTCGATGATGTGGAATACCAGGCAGACAGATTATGACAAGCCATGCAAAACCCTGTTCTAGGTTTCAGATGCTATCAGATAATAGTCACCGCTTCGGGACCGGCGGAAGCTAGTGTTCTGTTATATAACGTATTCCAAAGGCTTTACCTGATAATTGAAAGGATGCTTACAGAGATAGGCAATGAGTGGCTATTAAGAGAACTGAGATGGTCCAGAATCATTTCAGCTGCGAATCTGCAGCATTCCAACTCTCTCCCCATCACAAAGCTGAAACCAGTCCATCAGTCTTTTCCCTAGCAACTTCAGATTTACAGTTTCCACTGTGTTACGGATCGAAGCCAGAGCCAAAGGCAGGATGACCATGTTCTGGACCCCCACGTTTTATCCCAGGCCACACAATTCCTCATTAACTCAGGCAGACTGAAATCTCCTCGGTTGTTTGATTGGTTGGTTTGGTTTTGGTTTTCAAGACAGGGTTTCTCTGTGTAGCCCTGACTCCTGGAACTCCCTTGCTAGACCAGGCTGGCCTCGAACTCACAGAGATGTATCTGCGTCTGCCTCCCAAGTGTTTGGGTTAAAGGTGTGCTCTATCATGCCCAGCCATGTATTTCTTCGTGTGTGTGTGAGTGTGTGAGTGTGTGTGTGAGTGTGTGTGAGTGTGTGCATGTGTGTGGTGTGTGTGTGAGTGTGTGTGTGTGTGTGGTGTGTGGTATGTGTGTGGTGTGTGTTGTGTGTGTGAGTGTGTGTGTGGTGTGTGTGTATGTATGTGAGTGGTGTGTATGTGAGCGTGTGAGTGTGTGTATGTATGTGAGTGGGGTGTGTGAGTGTGTGTGTGAGTATGAGTGTGTGTGTGTGTGTGTGTGAGTGTGTGTAGGTCAGCACACATCTCTCGGAAGTCGGTCCTCACCTTTCACCATAGGTTGCAGGGATCAAACTCAGATTGTCAGGTGCCCAAAGTAAGGGCTTTTACCGTCTGAGCCATGTCTCTGGCCCTTATTTGTGTTACCCAGTATTCCTAGAGTTTATCATAATTTAAGACACATAATTGGCTCTCGATACAAAGATGTTTCTCAATTTATGATGCATTGGCATCCTAATAAGCCCATCATGAGTTCCAAATATTTTCCACCAAAATGTGCATTTAAGAGTCTGGAGAAAGGTGCTGGAGAGTTGATGCCAGTGGTTAAGAGCATTGGCTGCTCTTCCAGAGGACCAAATTCAATTCCCACATGGCAGCTCCCAACTGTCTGTAATTCCAGTTCCAGGGGATCCAACATGCTCATACAGACATACATGCAGGCAAAAATCCAACGCCCACAGAAAAAAATAGATGATAGATGATAGATAGATAGATAGATAGATAGATAGATAGATAGATAGATAGACAGACAGACAGACAGACAGACAGACAGACAGATAGGGTTTTAAAGAGAGAGAGAACTGGGAGGTGGTAGTGTAAGCCTTTAATCTCAGTACTCCTAGAGGCAAACACAGGCAAATCTCTGAGTTTGAGGCTAGCCTGGTCTACAGAATGGGCCAGTTTCAGGAAATCCATGGCTACACAGTGAAACCCTGTCTTGAAAAAAACTACAAAAAGGGGTTGGATAGATGGCCCAGAGGTTATGAGCATTGACTGCTCTTCCAGTAATGAGATCTGGTGCCTTCTTCCGGCCTGCAGGGATACATGGAGGCACAAGACTGTATAAATACTAAATAAATCTATCTGGAGAGATAGCTTAATGGGAAAGAGTACTTGCAGTATAAGAATGACCCCAGGACCCATGTAAAAAGTTAAGCGTACTGGTGCTTGCTGGCAGACAGCCTAAACAAAACCCAGCAGGCTCCAGGTTTAGCAAGACATCCTGTCTCAAAAGAACAAAGCAGAGAGTGACAGACCAGACACCCAGTAACCTGCCACCTTTGGCCTCTGCAGCTGCATAGACGCATGAATACGGCACGCACTGGATTAATACACCTAACTTATTGACTCTATCATCCTAGCCCACATTTGCAAAATGCTTGATCATCCTGCAGCTCTGCAAAACTCTTCTCTCACAAAGCCTATTACAATACCGCATTGAATGCCTTGTGTGTGCATTTTATAGGCAGGCTAGCTTGTGAAGATACAATATACAGCATAAAAAAGTGTTGGTGGCCTGGGTTTGGGTAATTCGGTGGTAGAACATCTTCCTAGCATGTACAAAACCTAAGCTCCTTCCTCAACACACACACACACACACACACACACCACTCACATACACACACGCTGCACAATACATGCATGCACACACACCAAGCACACACATACACCCCACACAACACAAACACCACCGACACACACACTACACACACCACACATACACACAAATATACACACACCATACCACACTCATGCACACACACACATCATACACATACACACACCACACACACATGCACACACACACTACACACATACACTTGCATACACGCCACACAAACACTATACACACACACACACACACGCACACACACTGGTGTGTATAGTACACCCAATCTGCTGCTTACTCTTTTCATTGTATGACTGACTGGGAGCTTCAGCTCACCCACAGCCTAGCCTTGCCAGAATCTCATGGTGTATATTAACAATCAGAAAAAAAGATGCAAATTCTAAGTATCATTACCACAGGATGACAGGATGTATATATACTGTAGTGAAGAAAAACAGATTTAAAGCTGGGCCTGGAGAGGGAGCTCAGTTAGCTCTAGAGATCGACCTAGACAGCCATCTAAGAACATTCGCTGCTCTTGCAAAGGATTTGGTTTGGTGCTCAGCACCCATGAGTCCCTCTTCAAATGCCTAACTCTGGCTTCAGGGTATCTAACGCCCTCTTCTGGCCCCTGCGGATACTGTACCAGTGTGATACAGGTACCTGCGTACAGACAAGAGCTCACACACATGAGATAAATGCATCTTAGAAAGAACGGAATTTTTAAAAAATGAAAGGTAGCTCACCAGCTGAGAAAACACCCGTGTATTTTTCTTGTGCATGTGTACCTATATGTCTTCATGTGTGTGTGGATACGATCACATGTGTAGAAGTCAGATAGCAACTTCAAGTGTTTTTGTCTTCCATATTGTTTGGGATAGGGTTGCTTGTTTGCTACTGATTACACTAGGCTAGCTGCCCTGAGAACTCCTGGGTATTCTCCTGTCTCTGCCTCCAGTCTCACAATAGAAGCACTGGGCTCATAGACACATGCTAGTGTACCTAGTTTTACATGGATTCTGGGGATTCGAACCCAGGTCCTCACACTTGGGTGACAGCCACTTTATCCAAGGAGCCATCTCCCCAGCCCATCCCTATCAGCTTCAGTTTCCATAGCAATGGGAAGAGTCTACCTGCATCACTAACACCAGAGGATGCTCCTAAGGACCAAAACAGAGTAATAGCTGCCAGAGCAACTGATCTGGGCGGGGAATCGTGGGTCTTCTGCACTCCTGGTAGGGATGAAGCTAAGAGATCCTGGGAGACATGTATATTTTAACAGCTACTTGAAGAACCAAGTATTGCTTTTGGAAGTCAACAAGGGACAGAAAATGCCTCTGTCCTCACTGCTCCCCTGGGGATGAGACACTGAGACAAGGAGTCTCTTTTCTCCTACGTTTATCCATGCTCCTCTCCA